TTATGTAAAATCGTTTTGGTAAAATTAAATTATATGATTTTGACGCGACACTATCCATTTATGAGTCTTTTTATTATTTTCGATTCTCTTGCAATGCAACATTTAGAAAGACCTTCCATGCTGTTCTTTGCCATCAGTAATTTTCCATTCTTATAAACCGCGCAATATCGGTCAATCACGTGATAAACATAAATATGCTTCCGTAGCTTCAAATATGGCCGCCTCCATAAAATAAAAGAAATTTAATGATGTGTTCCTTTCAAATACGCTTTTATGTGTCATTTCAGCTTTGAATGACTATCATAATCTACACACAAGAAGTCTTACCTCGAAGAACTTTTCCACTGACATACACCCAACTTTTTAAGAAAAGCATCGAAATTTCCTCAACCGGTTGAAACTGGAACATAACCGCCATATTCGTAAAACTTCGGAAAAATCCGTAAATAAACGACATTTAAAATTTTTTAAAGGGCTTTTTAAATAATGAAATCCTAAGACTATAAGAAATTATTCAGCTGTTGTTAACGTAACATACAACAGAGATAATTTAATATCTCACAGTTTGGAATATATCCCAAATACTATAGGTAATTAATTTTCGTGGGTTCTCAAAGTATAGTTCGCTTTTTTTGATTGGATGTTAAATTTTTGAGTATGAGAAGTTATGTTTAAAGAATCAAATGCCTTAGTTATATTTTTCTTCAACCAAATTTGTTTTAATCTAATTCAGTAAAGTCCTATTTTTCTAACTAACTAATTACTTATTTTCTGAAGGCAACTACCTCTTAGGTATTTATCTCATGAAAATGGAAAATTTTTCTGTAATACCCAATCAAAATGTTTGTAACATAGATAGTAAGATCTCACACCGTAGGTGGATCTTGACAAAATCGATAAAAAAAAGAGCTTGAAATGCTGGAAAATATGTCATTTAAACTTTTTTTTATCGCGAAACGAAAAAGCAAGTTCAGACATTGTAGCATTAGGCTATAAAAAGATTTATTTTAGTTTCTTTGGAGACGGTATTAAAAAACATCACAGACACTTGGGGTATGGACCCCCCTTTTCCATTTTTTTCTTTATATCTGGGGGTCGAGTCACCTTTTTCCTATTTTTGTATTCTAATATGCACTTAGAGTGACTATATATGATCAATAATGTAACTCTTTTGTCTCTATAAGCTGTTTTTAAAAACATCGTTTTCGACTAAAAGAGAGAAGTCTCTCTTTTTATGTATCAGATATAAAGAAAAAAAATGGAAAGGGGGGGGGGGGTCCATACCCCAAGTGCCTGTGAAAAAGATAATAAAATGCAGCCACAGGCACCTGACGTTACTTATTTTTCTTTTAATAAAAAAAAAAAACCCATACCTATGGGTATATATATTTTTTTTATTAAAAAAAAGTAACGTCAGGTGCCTGTGAATGCAGCATATGTTCGCACGACTTGAACTATTGGTTTGATTCAATTAAGCTGACTGTAGCATAAATATCGAGAAGAGAGGCCCCTTTTTACAAAAGAATAAAGACTTGACAGTCAAACATGTAATTCTACTTAATTATTATTTTCTAATGAACCTTTCGAAAACTGTTTTGATAGTTTTAAAATTAAAAATTAAAGAATTCAGAAACATATAGTTGTATGTCATCAATTTAAAATTGAATAATTCATTTTGAAAATAATACATCAAACCAAAAGTATTGGGTCTTAGTTTTAAGTTCTTTTTGTGAAACGAAAACATTCTCTGTTTTGAACGTTATTTTTGCTACGAGAAGTTTGAATTAGTATGAAATCGTACAATATACATTTCAAATGATAATCTTCAATGGAGTTCCAGTCCAACATTTTAACTCGAAGGAAATTGTAAAATTAGTCAATCAAAAGTCGGGAAACTCGACTTTCCAACACCCTCTCCTGACGCAGCTGCGGTGAACTTGTGCCTATTGCTATTTCTTCAAGAATTTTGTAATGTATTTTCATCTGGATTTGATGTTTTCCACATTCTAAAGACACAGTATTTCAGTTATCGTTTAATCGAGAAATTTTGTGAGAATTTTTATGTTATTGATAGCCTGGGATTCCAGCATTTGAAACGGAAAAAGGGTGGAAAACTCAAAGCAAATAGACCTATTGCTAAAAGTAAGTTTTGAAAATGCAAACGTACACAAAAAAAGAAATAATCGGGAACAATGTGTCTTGCGTTAATACGCAAAATAGTTTTCGCGAATACGTTATTTAGCTGCATGTAACTAAACATGATGGTTTTGGCACACAGTCATTTGAAAATTTTGATTCTGTGGTGTTAAATTCATCCTTAGATCTAAAAAAGAAGTCTGTTCGCGCATTCTGTCATATTTGGCGTATTTTTCATAAGTTCAGACTAACCAAAATTAAAAAGATTTTTCTATTTCATGTATTTTGCTACTTTAAATAAAGATAGGACTTTCCTGTAAATTACAAAATTTAAATCAATCGCGTTTCATAAATATCCGATATTTAAAACAATAACTGATTAAAGTCAATCTAACTATAGAAACTTGGGGATACCTAGGTGTCGGCTTCCCCCCCCCCCCCATTTTTTTTGCAAAGATAACATTAAGACATAATATAGGCAGCCCCCACTTTAAATTTGCTTCTGACGCCTATGGGATATTAGTTCAAAATCGGTGTAAAATTTAATTTTAACGTAAAAAGCAAATATAATGTAAACCTATACTTAAGGATATCTGATCCTCAGCAAGGAAGGATAACTCCAAAAATCAATCTTTAATTTAAAATGCATTATTATGAAGCTTGAAAATGAATTTTTTTTTCATGCATCAATTTTCATTTTATTCATCTATATATGATTCAAGGTTTTTGGAAATCTTAGAAAAGGTCTTATGAAAAATTGACAATTTTACCCTATAAAAGGAAAAAAAACAGTTTTAGAGAAATAAGATTTTCTTGAATTGAGCCTTAGATACCAATGCTAATTAGCATGATATGAAATTAAAAGTGATTTGTGATTTCTTGCAATGATAGCAAAAATATTTTACATTGTGTATTATATAATACATGAAGGAAATAGAAGACACAGAATACCAAATACATATAAGTATAAAAATCATGACAATTTCACTGAATGCCTGGATACCTATTGTTTTTTAACATAAAATATATTTGTTGATCAATTTGCAAATCACGGACATTTTATTTCGTTGTTTTGAATAGAATATCAGTATACACGTATTTTCTATATTTACTTTATTAAGGGGGGGGGGGGGGTCGAGACATATACATATATCTATGTACCAATACGCCTACCCCTAAAAAAGTTTATTATCATTGCCATATATATGTCACACATACAGGCAATTGTTTCTGTAAGTTTTATAATGATAATAAAATGTTTTATTATTATATATACTATGGGTAAAAAAAAACTTATAACAGAAACAGACGACTGTGGTCAGACACCATCCAATGACATCTAGTTAAAAAGGGGGATGTGGTGGATTGTCTTAGCTCCAAGCTAAAAAATTCTTTTTTGTAAAAGGGGGGGGGGGTTAGCTTACAAAAAAGTGGGGATGGGCTGCTACGCATGCTTACGATAATGTGCTTGCAATAAATTTAAGAGTATAAAAATGAAGGAAAAAATGGATTGTTAACAATGATTTAAAAAGTACCTAACATTCTAATTTTTTCATTCATAAAGTATATGGTATACTGAAGAGTTTTGTACCATAGCATACCCTGAACGATTGTGATGTCGTGTAAATATTTCATACTTGGCCTTTGATCTTTTGCGTTGACTTACTTCTGGACCGTGCACGTTTAAAGATATGGATTTTTTAATATCGACCTTAGGATAAACGAAATTTGTTTGTCTTACCACTGTTGATAAACATTCACATTATTACCTAACATTTGTAAATAAGTTTAAAATTGTTTATGTTTAACAAATTACGTAAATCTCGTTATTGTTTCGGTACAGCCCCTTGTATTCAAGAACGAGGTCATAAAGGTTGAAAATAATAAGTATTGTATTCAACAAGTACACACGACTTATAGATTTGCAATTCCATATCACAGAAATATTTTGTAAAAAAAGACTTTCTATTATAATATTTAAATAAAGAAAATAGTGCTATAACGAATTCCATGATCTGAATGATTGACAAGTTTTATTTTATTCATTTATAGGGTTACGTATAATTTAAACTTTTTAAGCTTATCCTTGCCGTCTCCAATGTATATTTAATTTCCCCATTTTTGCCATACCCTGAAAATCGCGCGTACACACGAGAGTAATCTGGAATATTGGATTCAGGATACCTCTTGAGGATCCTAGAATACCGTGTACATGTTCTATATTGATTTTACTAATACTCCTATTACCAAACTGAATTGATCATTACAAGTATTATAAATCTTATAATAGAAGTGTATTGAACAACATTATCAACGAAAGAATATATACATGCATCTGATGTACGAGTATGTGTTCAGTTTGCCAAGCATGTCTGAAATTAAATAAGTAACTTATTGATCTGAAATAGGTAAATTAGTAGGAACAGTTCTCAAATCTATGCTCAAACCTCTAGAAATACAGAATTACCAATACTTTTATCAAGGCTTGTTAATGAAATTTCAATGATCTATATTCCGTATATTAATTGTACACGATAACTTTAATATAATAAGCAGCTAACAGTAGTTTGCTGATGCTGTGACCGTTTGACTTCATTGTAGCGCAGACTGTATCAACTTTGACTTTGTTTTTTATGATCCTTTTATCTTGATATAGAAACCTCATATAAGTATCTGTTTGTTTTTATGTTGTTTAATATGCCTCTGGAAAATTTTTCACTCACTAGTATGTGTTACTCTAATCTAAACTTAAAATTTTCTTTATGATTCAATTTACATGTTCAAAAAGGCGAGGAGGTATATTCATATATAATATGTATGTGTGTCAAAATTATATACATTATGATTAAGATTTTCCTGTCTGTCTAGTTTTTGGTTGTAATATTTTTCAAACGAATCCAGGTTTGGACCAGAATACTAGCATTACCAAATCCATGACATGCAATCTTTGAGCGTAGGCGCCAGTCTTGGCAATGCTTGTCTGTAATTTTTCGATTGTGTGAAATGTGTAGCCCAAGTTTGTTAGCAACAATTCCTAAATATGCATCGTCAATAACCAAGTATTTCACGTAAGGGAAAGCTGCAGTCATCTGTTGCACAAGGTCCATGGACGCTATGATAGCGCCACCTGCCAGATATGGCGGATAACGATGGAATGGGTAATCTTCAAAAGGAACATACCATTTGCTGGACTTGTCACGGAAAGGCTCGGACATGGGTAAGACATATCCCGAGAGAAGAGAAACATTACTCGTTAACTTTACTAAAAAGAAAAGCAAATTTGGAAGATTCACATAAAAGTCGTCATCGACGAAGAGAAGAAAGCGAGCGCTGGAGCAGTACGTTGTTGCCCATCGGAAAGCCATTATTGTCTTATATGTATTATTCCTGTAATCGTCCTGAAAATCTTCCTGTATTATGTCGTGATGGAAATCATTTTCTTTAATAATAATTGGGTTAAACTCAGAAGAACCTAATAGGAAAACAACTTTTATAGCTGGATCCGGAATATTACCCCAGGTCTTTCGGATGGCATCACGATTTTCCATATGGGAAGCTGCTGATTTTACGAGTATCACCAAAGTAACTGTCGACGACAGACACGTTTTTTCAGGATTAATAATGTAAGAAAAGGGATGAGGATTAATAACAGGCAGTGGAACTGGTTCCTTCTTTTTGATCTGATCAAAGATCCCTTTGAAGTCGACATTTAACGGATATTGGTGATAAATTGGCGTCTTTTTTTCTTGGTGTCTTATTAAATCTGCGTAATAGTTTTTTCTCACCTTCTTTTCTTCATGTAAGAGAAAGGCATAATTGACCGAAACGAATTTAGTTTTAAATTGGAGACTTTCGAAACTTTCACTCTGCAAATTGTTAGTTTTATACTTTTCCTTCAAAGTATATGCATGGAACAAATTTTGGAAAATGTAAATTACAACTGATAAATAAAAAACGTAAAAAGTCAACTTTAGCAGGAAAGTGCGTTTTCTTCTTATCCACACCATCACTCTGAAACGATACAACACAGTTTAACAAGGAAAGAACTAAACTACATCAAACAACTGTTATGTCTCGGATTAAGCTAACAGCTATATCGTGTATAAAAAAAACTAAAAATATGAATTCTGCAGCTTAAATTTAGAGCCAAATAATTTTTAAGTATATTTATAGAAAAATAAAGTATTTTGTCCTTGTTTGGACTCAAATATTGTTCATTTTATGCTCGAGATAGTCATGTTTTATAATGCATTTACATTTTAACTGTTTAATCAATATAACCTGTCTCAATCCTACACCACATTTTTTTTCTTCAGGTTTTCAAGTCACCAAATCAAAATTATGTATGACTTTAAAATCATGTTGATTTAATCATTATACATCTTCCCCTTATGAGGAATACTTTGAATTGTAGGTTAAAAATTCTAAGTTACTCCTTTAATGTAGGACTTGATTTTGTTTTTTTTCTTTGTTTTTTTTTTTTTTTTTTTTTTTTTTTGAGAAAGAAAAGAAAACTAAATATATAGAAAACTTGTCTATCAGTATTGTAAACATGAAAACTGTTGATTAAGGATGCATAACACAATAAAAAATTTAGATATGCAGGTAATGTTGTTTTTTTTATATACATGTAAATATTGCAGATATTTCTGACATTGTGACCAAAATCTTACAAAAAAAAAAATTCCCACTTTACTTGCACGGAAAACGTCACTTTTTGAAAAATTATTGTAGCTCATCCTTAACATGTACTCAAGTCTCAGAAAAGCTAGCCGTAGAAATTTCGATCAATTTTTTTATGTTTGTCGTAAAATGTCTCTTTTTATGGACCCGAAGGCAATCCTTGATTGAAAGTTTTTAACTTTTTATAAATAAAAATATTATAAGTTCTATACATAAATCTAACAATGACGTAAATTGAAAATGTATTTGCTAAAACTAAATCATTTAGTAAAAACAATTATCTACCCACCTTTTGAGGAAAATCTCGTTCTTGACGCTTACGGTTATAAAAAACCAATTATGTTCATATATACCCAGGAGTCAATATCTTGGCAGCGATAAATAATTAAAAGTCTCTAACTTTTCCCAGAGCAAACTAACAAATATTTTCTCAACACAATTACAGACGCCGAGGTTAGGTTAATCTATAGTATTTAATTAGCAGGATTTTATCACGTGTATACAGCAAATAATGGAGACTCGTCAATTAATGATAATCAAATGATAAAATACGTGACGATGGATATTAGCAACAAAATTGATGGTAAACTAACGACTAAATTTTATACTAAACGATATTCTTGCATCAACAACTTATTTGTCAACGTCGATGCATGAATCCCAATGATACCCCACAAAGTCCATTTCAGATTTGGATGCCTTACAATTGGTAATTGATACTAAACTGACAAATCATCTCCTATACTAAATTCCAATTGAACTGATGCACAGATGCATATATTCTATGCATGGACGACTTTAAAAAGAAGATAGGTTATCGACAATTAGATTGGAAACCGAAAATTTGGTTGACAGGTGCTTAAACACAGATTTAAACTTAATATCTCAATTTCTTTGTATAGAATCACGACTTATATATTTCAATAGTATTTCACACGAAAATATGAAAACTTATTTTATCTGAAAATTATTGGAACTACGAATTTCGGGAAACGTTTGACAAACACATCCTTGCACTTTCATAAATTTAACATATCCCTATAATATTTAAGAAAAGTAGCAATTTTGCTGTGTATTATTGAAAAATATTACATCTATAATCCAGAAAATTCAGAGTAGAAATGTTGAAAGCAAAACCCCACTACTTTTCTTAAGTATCTGGGATAAAAATAAATTTGTCAAAGTGCAAGGACGTGTCGATCAAACGTGTCCAGAAATTTGAAGTTCCAATAACTTCGAGATAAAAAGTGATATTTATGATAGTATTAACTTCAAATCTGTGTAAAAGCACTTTTAAAGTTAACACTTTACAAATTTACAATACAAATGCAAATTTGATAGATACAATAACTGTTTGCAAAAAATAAATAAAAAATAAACGGACATTAAGTCGAACGTTGACCGATGTCCCTCGTACAAAACGTTAGGCTGTAATTTTTATGCGCCCATATCGATAGATCTGGGGTGTTTATTGTTTTTGTCCTGTCTGTCTGTTTTTTGTTTGTCTGCAAACTTTAAACTTCACCATAACTTTTGAACCATGAAAGATAAAGACTTCATATTTGATATGCAGACTCCACTAATCAAGTTCTTTTAAATGACACCAAGGTCAATGGCCTTGTGACCTTGACTAAGACCTATATGCTAAAAATAACTTTTTTGAACCCTCATTATAACTTTTGAACCATGAGAGAAAGAGATTTCATATTTGGTATGCATACTCCATTAAGTTCTTTCAAATGACACCTAGGTCAAATGACCTTGTGACCTTGACTGTGACCTGTATTCTATAAATATCTTTTTTGAACGTTGTTGCCGCCGGGCGCATAGTGTTTCACAAACACATCTTGTTCATTAACCCATTCATTACAAGGGATGGAAAATTGTTAATTATACCCGCACTTTCTAAAGAAAGTTCGGGTATATTGTTGTTACTCATGTCCGTCCGTCCGTCCGTCTGTCACACTTTTCTTCCCTGAACTCCTCCTACATTTTACACAGTAGCTTAATCATCTTTTGGGAGATGGTTTGTGGGGTCATGTAGATGTGCAGTAAGGTTTGGGAATTTCAATTTTGCCCCGGGGGGTCAAATGGGGGTCGAAAAATGACGGTTTTTGTCCTAAAAGCCCCGTCTTCCCTGAACTCCTTCTACATTTTACTCAGTAGCCTAACCAGCTTTTGGGAGATGGTTGGTGGGGTCATGTAGATGTGCAGTAAGCTTTCGGAATTTTGATTTTGCCCCAGGGGGTCAAATGGGGGTCGAAAAATGACGTTTATTAAGCAAAAAGCTCCGTCTTCCCTGAACTCCTCTTACATTTTACTCAGTAGCCTAATCATCTTTTGGGAGATGGTTGGTGGGGTCATGTAGATGTGCAGTAAGGTTTCGGAATTTTGATTTTGCCCCGGGGGTCAAATGGGGGTCGAAAAATGACGTTTTTTGTCCAAAAAGCCCCGTCTTCCCTGAACTCCTTCTACATTTCACTCAGTAGCCTAACCAGCTGTTGGGAGATGGTTGGTGGGGTCATGTAGATGTGCAGTAAGCTTTCAGAATTTTGATTATGCCCCAGGGGGTCAAATGGGGGTCGAAAAATGACGTTTTTTAAGCAAAAAGCTCCGTCTTCCCTGAACTCCTTCTACATTTTACTCAGTAGCCTAGCCAGCTGTTGGGAGATGGTTGGTGGGGTCATGTAGATGTGCAGTAAGCTTTCGGAATTTTGATTTTGCCCCAGGGGGTCAAATGGGGGTCGAAAAATGACGTTTTTTAAGCAAAAAGCTCCGTCTTCCCTGAACTCCTTCTACATTTTACTCAGTAGCCTAACCAGCTTTTGGGAGATGGTTGGTGGGGTCATGTAGATGTGCAGTAAGCTTTCGGAATTTTGATTTTGCCCCTGGGGGTCAAATGGGGGTCGAAAAATGACGTTTTTTGTCCAAAAAGCCCCGTCTTCCCTGAACTCCTTCTACATTTTACTCAGTAGCCTAACCAGCTTTTGGGAGATGGTTGGTGGTGTCATGTAGATGTGCAGTAAGCTTTCGAAATTTTGATTTTGCCCCAGGGGGTCAAATGGGGGTCGAAAAATGACGTTTTTTAAGCAAAAAGCTATGTCTTCCCTGAACTCCTCTTACATTTTACTCAGTAGCCTAACCAGCTTTTGGGAGATGGTTGGTGGGGTCATGTAGATGTGCAGTAAGGTTTTGGAATTTCGATTTTGCCCCGGGGGGTCAAATGGGGGTCGAAAAATGACGTTTTTTGTCCAAAAAGCCCCGTCTTCCTTGAACTCCTTCTACATTTTACTCAGTAGCCTAACCAGCTTTTGTGAGATGGTTGGTGGGGTCATGTAGATGTGCAGTAAGCTTTCGAAATTTTGATTTTGCCCCAGGGGGTCAAATGGGGGTCGAAAAATGACGTTTTTTAAGCAAAAAGCTCCGTCTTCCCTGAACTCCTTTTACATTTTACTCAGTAGCCTAATCATCTTTTGGGAGATGGTTGGTGGGGTCATGTAGATGTGCAGTAAGGTTTTGGAATTTCGATTTTGCCCCGGGGGGTCAAATGGGGGTCGAAAAATGACGTTTTTTGTCCAAAAAGCCCCGTCTTCCCTGAACTCCTTCTACATTTTACTCAGTAGCCTAACCAGCTGTTGGGAGATGGTTGGTGGGGTCATGTAGATGTGCAGTAAGCTTTCGGAATTTTGATTTTGCCCCGGGGGGTCAAATGGGGGTCGAAAAATGACGTTTTTTAAGCAAAAAGCTCCGTCTTCCCTGAACTCCTTCTACATTTTACTCAGTAGCCTAATCATCTTTTGGAAGATGGTTGGTGGGGTCATGTAGATGTGCAGTAAGGTTTTGGAATTTCGATTTTGCCCCGGGGGGTCAAATGGGGGTCGAAAAATGACGTTTTTTAAGCAAAAAGCCCCGTCTTCCCTGAACTCCTTCTACATTTTACTCAGTAGCCTAACCAGCTTTTGGGAGATGGTTGGTGGGGTCATGCAGATGTGCAGTAAGCTTTCGAAATTTTGATTTTGCCCCAGGGGGTCAAATGGGGGTCGAAAAATGACGTTTTTTAAGCAAAAAGCTCCGTCTTCCCTGAACTCCTCTTACATTTTACTCAGTAGCCTAACCAGCTTTTGGGAGATGGTTGGTGGGGTCATGTAGATGTGCAGTAAGGTTTTGGAATTTCAATTTTGCCCCGGGGGGTCAAAAAATGACGTTTTTTATGGAAAAAGCCCAGTCTTCCCTAAACTCTTTTTGTTTTAAACAGTGGTCTTATCATCTTTTGGGAGAGTTCACTCTTTTGAAATTTTGTTTAAACATCAAGGTCAAAGGGTAAAAAATCATAGCATGTTGGTAGCCTCTTGTTATGGGTAATGTTAACTTGAAATGTGAAAGTCAAATCTCTTCTCAATGAAAAGGAAATACAACATTAATGAAAACTAAGTTAAACTTCAAGGTCAAGGTCACAGAGTCAAAAAGTCATGACACATTTTGGAAGGTCTTATCACAGGTAATATGAATGCCCTTTCATTTATCTTTCAAAATGATCAATTCAAAGCAATTAATTTTTTTAAGGAAATTAGGTCAAACTTCAAGATGAAAATCATAGTGTATGTAGAATGGTATTGTCCCATTTAATACTAATACACATGTTTAATATAAA